TTAATTTTTAAAACTTCAGCCAGTTTCTTTTGTATATCCAGTAAAGCACCCTTTTCCAAATGATTCTCTTAGCCTATCATTTGTAGTTCCACATTCTGTACTTTCTCTGTCTTGTCAGATAAAATTTGTTCCACATCTGTCATTCCTTCATTAACATCTTATAGACACAATTTATTAATAGAAGCAGACATCATTACTGACAGTGTTGATATTGTACTTACTAATTTCTGGCTCCATTCTTCAAAGATCTCCTTTAATATTTCCAGTGTTATAAAGTTTTGGGTAATTTTGTAAGTCCCAATATTAACTAACATCAAGAACAGGGTTGTATTTTTCTTTTCTTCTGCTTAAAATCATTAGTTCCTTCTGGTGTCCAGTTTCTAAAATCATTACTTATCTTTTGCTATGACTTACAAAGCCAGGATAGCCAAAATAAGTCTGTTTCCCATGATAAGTTATTTTTTATACTTAATTCCAACATTTTATAGTAAAAGTCAATATTCCAAATTTATCTGGAGCATTAATCTGTTTATAACTTTCTTAGATCTAAATCTTATTTAGCTTTTTGCTGTTTATTTCAAATTCTTTAAGTTTTTAAGCTTATAATTATTTTTTATTTTGTTTAGAGTTGAAGATAAACTCACCCAATGAAGTCTTTTCAAACTTGTCATTCCGAAGGTCTCTAATAGCTTTAAGATGGTAAATAGGTAGTTTCCAAAAGTGATTAGAAAGTGAGGTTTGTGAACTTAGTGTTTTTTAAAAGGCTCCGCTGCAGTTTTGAGCAAGATGGCTGATCCCGGCAACCGCCTGCAGAAAACTGCTGTCCTCCAGTCTCCTTGAAGGAGCAGCCATCCTGAACATATGTGGGTGATCTCCTGTCCTCTTCTTATCCAGAGAGATTCCAAGGAGCTGGTCTACTCACTGGTTTCTTGGTTTTTGCTGCGGTTGTCAGCTCCGCTTTCACAGAGCTGTCTTCAGTTCGTCATACTTCCCCTGGAAGTCTTCCAGCTTATTGGCATAACTGAGTATAGATTGATCTGTTTATAATCAACAGGACTAAAATTGTAGAAAAAGCCCTCTAGGTGATCAAATCCAACCACTTTGTGTATCCTCAACAAATGTCTATCCAGGTTCTGCTTGTACATCCAATGAGGAAGAGTTCAGTATTTCCATGGATAATTAGCCCCACTATTGTAATGTTTCCTAACCTTCTGTCAGACTAGTTGCAATAAAAGTGAAACATAATCAGAGACAGTAAGGGTGGAAAGGTCAAAAAGTCAAGATGGCATTTGTGAATGTGCAATCAAAGCTCTACCCCTTTCCATGTGTGTCAACTTTGTATGCACTTACAAAGGAGCAGGGTTTCAATCTTGACCATCATCTTGACTTTTTTTTACCCTCCCCCCACCCCATGGACACCCATTTTACATTACATTGGCATTGATTGTATCATTGACTGTGATAGGTTCTAACCACAAATGAAGGAATGTGATCAGTATTCTGTAATTCATGTGACAGAAATTCTTCCAATTCCATTTATGAGGTATAAATTTTATATCCCTGATAGCTTGTTCAAATGGGATAAAATATTAATGTAATCAAGTGACTGCATAGTCCATATTCATTCTGAGATCATTATTTCTCATTCCAAGAGGCTACATCTCACTCTCAACCAAATTACCAACAATCCCTGCTCTCAGCTGAGTGCTCTGCTAAACATTTGTTCACAAGTCCTAGAAAACAGGCTGTTGTTTTATCACTGTGATCCTTCCTCCTGTGCTTGCTTAGATGAGATTAGATAGAGTTCACTATGCCCTGGAAAGAGGACTGGCACCTAAACTAAGTATATTGAATATGAGTTTTTCATAAGCAGATTCATAACATTTACTTTACTTGTTTAAAGTATAATTTGATTTCTAGATTTGCATTTTATTTTTAATTTCAGCTTAGCATAGCAAAATAATTAGAAATGTAAAGTTTTAATAGGCTATTAAAGCTAACATAACATTTTCTTATCCAGCAAAACTTCATGTATCAATTATGTATAATATAATTATAATATTTAAAAAATACATGCAAACTTAAATACTGTATGGTTATTCATTGTTATACTTTAAATAATGGAACTGAACATAATATATTGAAACCATGAATAACCATTCTGTGATGGGCCTAGCTTAACTGTAGATACATAGAACTATGTTTGGTCCTTGCTTTGAGTAGCTCTGAAGGTAACTTCTGGTCATGTAAAGGCAATTGTAGAAAATCAGACTACTCTTGAAGTTAGTTATTCTTAGAGCAGACCACTAGCATTTGAAAGATCACTATAAGGTCTCTAAGCTCCATTGAAATTTTGCTATTAATAGCATTATATCAAAACTAGTTGTATAATATAGGAAGAGCCAAGAGCATTATCTGTATAATGTATACATAGAACTAAGCAGATCTTTGGGGTATTACTGTTTCTAATACTCATTCTGTACTATCAACCTCTTTCCATAGAAATTCAAAACGTCAAGATGAATGGGATGATTCAAGCTGATATTGTTGGAATAGAAGTAGTTGCTGGCCATAAATGTTATTAAAAAAAAAAAAAACAGACCAAATCAGATGTTGTTTTTAATGTAAAAACATCATCGTCCCTTTTTTGGTTATATGAAGTTTGGAAGACTTGACCATATATTCTACTGTAAAGACTTCTTTAACTTTATTTACTAGGAGATGTAGTTACAGGCAGTGATGCCCCAGTATCGGTTCCTGTCCAGAATCTAAGTGCCCTCCACGGGACAGTTGCTACAGTAATACATGGTACGTTTTGCCTGTAATATTGTTATGGGGGTGCCCAGAGACACATTTGGTTTGTCATTTTTAGTGTGTACCATACATCATAGATCCACTAAGAGGCACTGTTGTTTAGGGAAAAAATATGCATCTTCCTTGCATAGGAGGCCAGAGTGGCTTTTTAAGAAAATGGGGGAAAATAAAGTCTTGTTATAATAAAACCAACAGTGCTCAAAAACAATAAATAGAAATATTAAAAATTATGTGCATTTAAAAAATAGAGAAGCTGAATAAATAATAGAAAATCTTAACCTGGGTGGTTGTTATTTCATAAATGCCTAGGTGAACAGCCACATCTTCAGTAACTGAGAAGGCTCTTCTCCTGGCCACCGTAACCCAGATAATTTTAATGTACAAGTTCCATGGTACTTAGGGAAATGACCTTTTAAATACTTGCTTCCTAAGCCATTTAAGCCTAACTAATGTCAGCCTAACTAATGTCAGCCTAAGCCTAACCCTAACCCTAACCCTAACTAATGTCAGTACTTTAATTTTGGATGGCATAATTCACAAGTAACCAGATCAGTGTTTCAGGACTGGTGTGATGTGGTCCCATTTAGCTGTCCCATTTAATGCTCAAGCAACTACTTTCTAACCTGCATCCTTCCAGGTAATATATTCTCAGATTAGGAGTCCAAAAATAGAGCCATTAGAAGTTGAAAAAAACATCCCAGAAGAAGGCAGTGGCAAACCATTTATGTGTTGCTACCAAGAAAACTACAAGGATGTGTACATGAAATCACCAGGAGTCGAGCTCAGCTTGCAGAGACTTTATTATTCCTCCTATTCTTGATATGTTACTAAGTTCTGTTGCTCTTGCTTATAGCAAATCTCTACCCTTTCTTGTGAAATTTCCCTCTTTCACATATGAAAATGTGAAGGATAATTCTGTTAATTAAATGATTATTAAAGGATCGTTCTGTTAAGCAAAATTGGGGAAATATCTTATACCCATTTGATTCAAGACATTGTTTCCATGCAGCAAAATCTTTTGGTAGCTAAAAGTTCCATTAAATGGAAGTAAACTGGTAGATCAAAGTGTAGATCAAATACTTATGTAATTTACCAAAGTGTTTAAACACTGCAAAACTGCACTTTCTACATTTTTTCTGTGGATAGTATTTGTGTGGCAGCATTGATGGCTTTGTATCAAAATGAATTAGACCAATTAAACTTGCATTGCTAGAAAATTCAGGCTACAGATGTTACTTCAACTGGATTATAAACAGAATAATCACCTGTTTTATAGAAAATCACATCACAAATTCTATTTCCATTGTATGTAAAACATTATATCACTAGATGGTCAGAGGAATTCTGGGGATTGTAATCCCAAGATATCTGGATGGTAATCGGTGGAGAAGCTGGGCTTCTGCACACGGCATGGGGAAGATACCATCTCATTCTCTGCCTCGATCCATAGAATGAATTGTGCCAACCTTATTATAACTTCTGCATGATTTGCAGTTTTACCGTTATATTTAATGGCTTTACTTAGATTGTTACTTCCCTCAATTATCTTAATAGTAGGGAAATATTTTAATACTTTTAAATTCCACAGACTTGCTTTCATTTCATAACCATCAAACATCAAAATGCAGTGAGAATTGATTTGTGTGACAATTCTTTTCATCTATATGGTCCACAATTGGAATTCCTGAAGAGAAGTCTTTTTTGACCACACAATCCTTTCCATCATGAAAAGAGACTGCACGTGGTTTCTGGAATTAAGGGCATAGATGTAAACTGCTACAAAATGCTTCAGTGACATGATATTCGTTTCATTCCCCCCTCCATCTTTGGGTTTTGTTTTGTTTTGTTTTCTTAACCTCCCGTTCCTTATCCAAAAAGGCCATTAACATTCTTTCCCATTGAGCAAAAGTATTCATTAAAGATTAAACTATTGAGAGAAAACCTTTTCTAAATATTTTTCTACCTGTACAAGTCTTGCAGGTCCCCTGAACTTGCTGAAATCTCCCATTTATGTGTGAGTGAGTAGTTACATTACAATTAGCACTTAGAGAATTACATCGTTGTTATATAGTAATATATAGTATTCTCATTCTTAATAGGTATTTACTTCATAGTCTCTATGCATTGCATCATTTCATTCCTTTACTTGAAATTTTTAAGCCATCATATAATTTGGAGGAAAAAGGAGTACAGTATATGTGTGTGTAGGCTGTACATACATACAATGTGTATTGACTGGATTTCTCCTAGTGCAGGTATCTTCTTATGCACAAGATATGTTTTGTTGCTTAGTTTTATGGTCTTTGGTGCTAAATACATGTTGTAGAGAGCTCTGTATGGTGCTTTGCAGTAGCACTCTGTACTACAGGAATAAATGTGCCTTGATATCATAAAATCCATTATGTGCAGATCTGCTTCTGAAAGTCACCATTCAGTTAGGGAGCTCTTTGATGATGATGATTTTTTTTTTGGCTTCTCTCTATTTGCTTTGCAGGGCAAAGTTCAAAAAATGGCAGTCCTTCTCCAAGCATTGAAAGTTTTTCTGGAGGACGTGAATACATTGGGTCTCCACCTTTGTCTGCAACCAAGAAAGAATCTTTTTTCAGTACAATTTCCCATTCTCGTTCTCATAGCAGAAATATGAGCAAAAAGGAATCTGTAAGTGTCTATTTCTTGAGAGATACATTTCACTAATTCTTATTGTCTTATTTACTTTGGTTTACTTTATAACTCCAGTATTTATATATGTGAACAAACTCATATTTCTTAACGGAAACCAAACCATAACATTTTATAAAAGTTTAGTACATTTGTTATGTTTTATGGATTATAAATTTCTTAAAATTTCTAGTTTCATTTAAATAAGGGGAACTTCATTTTTCCTTGGAACATCTTAGAAGGAAACCTGAATTTGTTCTTAATATTCTATGGCCTTCCATATTGTCTTGCAATATGCAGTTGATAATAATACTGCATCAGGTAACTCTCATGGCAGACCACCATTAAACATATCTCATAGTAGTCCTGTTTCAGCATCACTCTAGGATATTTTGTTGTGATGGATTGGTCACAGCCTGAAAAAGATTCAGAGAATGGTTTTAAAATTTTTCAAACATACCTTAGTTATCTGAAAAAAGCTGAGAAAATGGAATGGTAAATTCGGTTCTAAAGTGAAAGTAAAACAGTTGCTGAGGTTTATTTAATCTTAACCCTTGCCCTTCCAATAAATCTTGTTTAAAAATTCTCAGTATTTTGCTTTTGGTTAAACCCTACAAAGGGTTTGATGTTAATCTCAACTCTTAACTCCCCTTTTAAAGGGAGGCTACCTTCTTTTCTATTCATGAGTTTGATTGGGGCAACTTTTTCCACTAGAAATTTCAAGAAATTTATAAACCATAAAACGTAACAAATGTACTAAACCTTTGGAACTCTTGGAACACCTCTAACTACTGAACGGTTCATAAACACCATATTTCAATCCCTGAATCAGGTGGATGCTTAGAACAGTCAATTGGCTAACACCTTTATTCACATGATGCAGCAATTTGGTCAACTACAGCAACCAGTTGTGGCTGCAGTTGCAACTCCTCTCATTCTTGTTCCTCCAACCATTTTAATTTGCTCTCCAGGTTCATCAATGGAAAGTATAATTAATCCCCAGTGGATTCAAGACTTTCATCACTCAATGTGAATTACATATATCTTTGAGACCAGCCATGTTTTCTACCAGTTGTACTCAGATATGCCAGATGGGCAATTCCCATCATACATAACTATTCTATAATGGATGATTGTGTGGCTTTGATTACTTTGCCAGAAGGACCTACATAAGAAAAATTGAGAAATTGATAGGTTATATGCAGCAAACTTTCACTTGTATTCAAGAGATATGGACTGGAATAAAATTGCTTTAATTGATTGACTTAAAGAAGGTGTATCTAATGAACTACAAAATAAGCTAGTTATGAGATAGCTAATGTAGATAGATAAAAGGCTAGTGTAGATTTTCTAGGCCAGAAAAGCTGAGGCACACTGGGAATGGAAAAGAAAGTTTCCATTCAGGGAAGATTCAGGGAAACTGGAGGAGTGGGACTATAAAGGGTGCAAAGCTTTCTTTTGCACCCTTTATAGTCCCACTCCTCCAGTTTCTCTGAATCTTCAGACTATTCTGGTGTTGACTACTTTGGAACAAGTAGATTCCCCACCCTCACCCCCAAATTTGTCAACTGCAGAGAAATAACATAGATGTATCTT